GTCAACAGAAATCTTTGGACAATGCAGACAGAAACCTAAGAAATATCTTTAGTTAAAAGAGATGTAATTATACAGGTCAGGATATTTTACCTTACTTCTCCACAATTACTAGCTGATTTTTTTTATGCTCTTTAGATTTGTAGGCATATGCAGGGTACATATTCAAACCAGCTCCATTCCAAAATCTTTTCTTCTACCAAATTTACTATTGTAGCTATTTTTGCAGCTAGAAATCTGGGAGAATGCTTAAGAGCAATTCTTCAAAGCAGTGTACGGAAGGTATGTGCTGTAATCCTACTAAGAAATAATAGGATTTTATTTGCATACCTCCCACTAATTGCTTGGAAACTGTACCCCTTCATGTTCCTCATTTCTGATTGCCAATTCAAAAATAAATCCTGAGTGTACTATGCTTTGGTTGGAAGGAGAGCCATCACAATTGGAAAAAAATTTATCAGACTTGAACAAAAATCTATTTAACTTTCATTTGTTTTATATAATTTCCCTTGCTAATTCTGCTCATTATGAAGAGATATATGCATTTAAACAAACGCTTACTCTTTTATAGCTCATCATCTTTACCCATCCAATTTTACAATATGGTCATGCTACTAAAATGTACTTTTACTATCTGTTTTATGGCAGCTAAATGATATTAAGAAACCGTTAGTATGTGATTTCACAGCATGATTGAGCAGGAGAAGCTGTCTTGCAAGGACAAAACGTGTTGTTCAGAATAAAGTAATCTTTGAACAGCAGAACCAGGAAACAAGAACAACTAGCAAACTCAGCACCTTCTTTTATTCTCTCTCCCCTCCCCACCATTTCCAGATTTTTCCAGTGTAACAATCCTGCTAGCTGATTTTTTTCTAAAAGATGTCAGGTTTGCTGTCCTTCAGTACTTTCTGTAAAGCTCTGCCTGATACATTTGAAATCAAATCGAAGTATTTCTCAAGAGTAGATAGTATATTGCCAACATTGTCCCAAGTCACAGAACCACTTTCTCTTTGTGGAGTGGACAGTCCGAGCCAGAAGGCAAAACGACGAAGGCGGCACAAAGTGCTAGACCTTGATAGTAAACCTGGTGAGTAACCTCAGAACATAATGGCACATGACCAGCTTACCACATTATCAAAGATGTCAATGCTATAGTTATGTCATCTTCATGGATGTTTCTCTGATCAGCTTCCAAGCCTCATCTCACACCTCTTCTCCATACCCCCCCCCTTCGCATTTGCATCCTCTCTCTCACCTCTAACCACTCCCTATTAGCACAACTTATTCTCATCAGCCCCACTATCTCATCTCTTTTTAAGCCTTGTCTTAACACCATCTGCCATTCTAAACTGCTTCATAAATGCCTTTATTTTCCAGTACTCCATCTTTTACTTGGTCCACAAACCTGGCCATGCTGAGGCATCCGCTGATTTCAGGATTAGATATCCTTCTGCCTCGTCATCATTTGGCAATGTCAGCTGCTTGGACACACTTGGCACAAATCATGCTCACAGAGGTTAGTTTCTTGTAGTAAAGGGTGTGCAGTTTTGACAGCTACTATGCGTAAACATTTTTCTCACTCCTGTGTATCAACACAGATTGAATTTCTGTACCAGAAATAATATTTATTATTTACAATGTTTATTTCTGGTTCATATTCAGGCTGTAACTCTTCAGTTCAGAAATTCTGTGTTTATTTAGTACCAAGAAATGGGAATTCAATAATGATAACTCTGTTTTATACCGTCTCAGTGTTATACAAAATAGCTTCCACACCCCCCCACCCCCCCACCCCACCCACCCCCCCCCCCCTAAAAAACAACAACAAAAAAAACCTCCTGACATACTCACTGCATTCTTTCTCAATACCCACAGATTCAGGATACCTCTTTGTAAAGATTTCTTCTCATTAGTGTCTGACTGAAGACTTGCTCAGCTTTTCTAAGATGCTGGCGGATCCTGAGGTGAATTGACCTGCTTTTCCCAACTCATGATCCCCATAATCAGCTGATGGCAGCTTGGCACACATGTTCATTAGCACAATTGTAAGAAGAGACAGTATGTACATGCAGACACATTCTGTAGCTGATAGCAGCTCACCCTTTCTTCCCACACGAGCCCACAAAAAACCTGAACTTCATTGCATCTCATTTGAAACTAATGCCATATTGGATTGGGATTCATAGGGCTGTTTAAATGGTGTGAGGTGGCAAAAGTTTGTTTCATTTCTGAGGTCTTAAACACCTACAGTGCTATTTTAAAAATTACATTGTAGCATGGGACAAAACCACCATCCATGCTCATCAAAATAGAATACTTCAGCACTTCTGATAAAAATATACAATAAAGATTTTAGGTAACCGACCAAAGTGACATGGGGTGATGTGGCTGCCTCTTTTCATGGAATACTGGCAGACTGAACTAACGAACCATTTATTTAAAGCTGTTGGCCATTTTTTGTAACTATTCTAAGTAAAAAAAAAAAACCAAAACCAAAAAAACCCCCAACAAACCAAAACCACCACCAAAACCAAACCAAATTGAAAGCCACCTTTGTCCTGGCTTGTGTGCTCTTTTCTACTGCAATGTTTCCAGCGTCTTACGTGTAATTAAACCTCTCATTGCTTTATGGGATAGTTTCTCCATGAATTTTATTACTTGAGTTACAATTACATTCCATGTTACATTAGTTAATTGGCACAGATCTTCTCTGTCTTACGCTACATGACAGCTAACTCTAAAGTCTCATGTATCAGCTATACCAAATCCACTCAAATAAGTGGCTTTTAAAACTGTTTTACCTACTATAATCATTCCAGGAATCAGTATGTTGAGAGTTAATACAGTTCACTGTTGCTGCATTTGATAGATGGACCTAGACCAGGGAAGCTGGTACAAAACACTGACACCTTATTTGCACGCTAAGGCTTCATAACAGCAGTCACATTATTGTGTATCACAACAAAATCAGTGTTCAACAGACAAGGACAAACACTGCCACTTTTATTTTGAGACTTGTATTGATGAAAAGAAGGGGAGGAGGAATTGAAAAAAAATCATTTGTACTGAATCTGAATTTGGCCAGTTGCACAAAGAAAAGAAACAGAATACCAGAACGGGAACCGAGGAATTTAAATCAACAGTCAGATAAAGGATTGCTTAAGGGTAAGTTTTGCAGTTGAAAGGCTGGTATTTTGTTCCCAATCAACTACTACTACCTTCTTGCTGATGAGAAGTTTTCTTACTCCAGAATAGCTAGTTAAAAGACTAATCAACACAAGAAACTAAGCAGACATGTTTTTCTTTATGTGAACATGCACAGCTGTCCATTAATTTTTATGGAAAAAGCAACTTTGTCATGTAAAGACACACACAATTTTCTTAAGTCTTTCTGTGATGGGGAAACCATGAATTTAAGACATTTAATCAAGTTAGTTTGCATTGCAATATTAATTCATCTAGTTTTGATAAAGGAGCACTTATAGAATCAAATGCTATAAACTAAAAGACAGGCTAGAAAGGTAATTTGTGTGGGTTGGTTTGTGTTTTTTTTAAATGTCTATGCTAGCCATCCCCAAAATACAAATGCTTCTTTATAAAGGCATGGAAAAGGTGGAATGACTTATCTTAAAGTTGCTGTTCTGAAAATGTGCACACATGTCACATGTTACTAAGGAGTGAACAAAATAAAATACAGGCAGAAAAATCAAAATTAGAAACCAACTGTGTAAGACAGGCGTTCATCTTTTTACAAAGTCATTCTAATATGCTGAAGAAATAAAATTTTACATCTATTACAATATAGACTATTGCAATATAGGAATATATTACAATACACACAATTTTAGACTACAGAACTGCAACACTAAGAAATGGGACAACTTGAATACCAAGCTGGAGAAGAATAAATTATTCAACTTATTCTAGAATTGCAATACAGACCAAAGAGCAAAACATGCCCTTCCAAGGATGCCTCATTCCTCCTCCTCGCACTGTAAGGAGTATGTGGCAAAATATTCTATTTTTTAAGCCCCCACAAATAAATATGAACAGTGCCAGCATCTAACAGCCAATGGACACAGCTAGAGGTGGCAGAAAGTGTGAAGATAAGATGATCTCCTCACTCTAAATTTCAGCTCCTTTTGCCAATTCCCAGGTGCACTACAAGAGGCTTCAGCAAGAGAACACTCACCAAATAAATTAAGGTCAAGGAAAATGGCAAAAAAATTGTACAATTTAAGCTAGACATAATAGACCTGCAGGGGAAAGGAGAGAAACTACGTTTAAGAATCATCATTTATATCAGAAGTGTTGCAAGATCAGTATGTAGATAAACAAACACACAACAGAACCAAGTATTTAAGACTAAAACATGAAAACACTAGCATTGCATGGCAATATGAAACAAGCTGCCAAACTTCATAAAACATGTAGAAGAATTAGCAGTTTTACAAGGACTCTTCAACTCCGGAAGGAACAGAAAGCCACATATTTCCAAAACACCAAAATAAACATGATCTTTACTCTTGGTAATTTTGTTTCCCCTTGGAAAAAACAGGCAGAATACTATGACAGAATGAGCATTTTAAAAATCTGTTTAGCTTGCTTCTAGTGGAAAAATTAGGAACACTAGATATAGATCTAAAGCCTAGTTTTGCTGTTAACTTATGTCTTTTTTTACTCCAAAACACCAAATGCTGTTTTGTCAGTTTTATCATCTTCTGTATTATTCTTACATTATTTCCCCCCTTTAACATTTTTTTTTTGCTACATAACAACCTTTACTTATCATGTTGTCCCTGCCGCAGACCAGACACTGACTACATCTTTGCTAGCGCTTTTCTTGTATTTGCATCTCCTTAATGCTGCTGCCCAAGACTCTGTGCCCTTTGGTTTTTTTATGTCTTTGAGATACTTACAAGCAAATAATGGAGAAGGACATAGCATCAGCTATGACTTAAAAAATGAAGAGTAAAGATATGTCAACACAAAAATCTTAAGTAGAAGAGTATTTAATCTGTATTTTAAACGCCACTGAATATTGAGGCTAGAGAAGCCTGAAATACCAGGTATTTCAGACTTAAATGATTCATTACAGTAAACCTGACTGGATCACTGAAATTATACTTATAAATAATGTCATATTGCATAGTATAACAACTGATTTACTAAAAGAAACCATTTGTGTCACATTTGACAGCTGCTTGCTGCAGACAAGGGAAAGAAAATCTTCTCCTCCTAGCTGGTGACTTACAGTAAATAGAAAGTAAATACATTCATCAGTTTGATGAATGAGCATATCCTGCAGCTATTCCATGTATATTAGATTGCTTATTGTTCTAGCTAATGGGTCCATCATTCTGAAAATAATCTACTGTCTCCAACATTTCCCCTATGGTTAAGTTGGCATTCACAAGCATGTAGTAGGGAGCAGTCACAGAAGCCTGATGTGATCTTCCAATTTAAAAATACCGTTCAGAAGCAGTGATTACTCACCGCCCAGGCAGCATGAGTAAGAAAAGGTCCACAAAGTTCTGTTTTGTAACTGAATTCTCTCTTTTACTGATAACATGACTAGTGATTCAGAGGCAAGAACCAAATCTATGTATAGATATATGAGAAAACTAAGGATCTACACACATAAAAATTTTTTAATCTAGTCTTCAATAGATCCCCAGCATCTCCGTGTCTCACAGAATATACTGAAGGAGTTAATATCAGAACGTTTCCAAATAAAGAAGCAACAATCTAGTAACAAAATACCTCCATCCCTATTTCTGCACTTCTGCAAAGATGGAATATTTGCCAGTTAATAACAGATGTACTGGAGTCTCAGTAACAAATAGAGAGACTTAGAGGTAATCGACAAAGTAACTGTGAAGAGGCTATGGTGAAAACAGACAAAACCCACTAACTTGTTAACAAAATACCCAAAAAATATTCACCCAAGAGTTTTAGAACTCAGGAATGAATCAGATGAATTATTAACCTTTCATTTAAAACTGCCATCTTCAAACTCCAGGCATCAAGGAAATCTCTAAAAATAAAAAGGACTCCAAGGAGATTCAAACAGCTCTGGCTCTATGAGCCTGATGTTTATACCAAGCAACAGAATACACCCAAAGGTCAAATAGGTAGAAAATAATGGGAAGATCTGCCTCGTAAGAAGTAGCATGGCTTCTGCAGAGGGAACCTCTTGGGAGCTCTCTGAAGGGGTCAAGAAGCTTGTCAAGAATGGTGATTTGGCTGGCAGCCTCTGGATTTCCAAGTAAGTTCTGTCAAAATACCTCAACTAAAGGCTTTTAAGAAAACTAAGGAGCTACAGCCTAAGAGGAAGGGGCCCAAAATGGAGAAATAATTCTTAACCACAAATAGGGAGGAGCTGTTAAATGGCCACGTCTCAGAAGAGTGGGATGTCACTGCTGAAATTCTTTAGGACCCCGGGGGATTTGTTTTAAGATACGATCTGCAAAAATGGGAAGAGCAATGAGGTCTGAAAGGTTGCTACTGGTGCAAAACTATTCAGGGTAATAACAAGAGCAGACTGAAGAGCTGCACAGGATCTTCCAAGTCTGAATAACAAGTAATAAAATGGCAAGATGAGATTCAACTGGTAAACACAGGGAGAACAATTTTAGCATCAGATATAGAGTGACAGCCTCTGAGCTCACAAGCAGGATCTTGGGGCTTTGGCAGACAACTTCAGAAAAACATCAGCTCACCACTTGGCAAAAAATCCAAAGTCAAATACTGGGGGCCACTGGACAAACAACAGAAAATAATTACACCACTGTGCAAATTCTGGTTTGCTCATATCTTGAGTAAGTGTAGTTTGGATTCACTTATTGCTAACAGGACACAGTATAATTGAAAAAGGTTTAGAGAAAGACAAAAGGAATGGCCAAAGCTATGGACAATTTCTGGACAACTTCTGACCAAGTAGGCTGTGACTCTTCTAACCTGAAAAAGTAAAGTGACCACGTAGGCAAAGCGTGACTGATGTCTACAAAATCACCACCAGCACGGAGAGGCCAGGCAGGATCTAGGAGCTGTTCAATGAAGCTGTTAAGACCAGGTCCACACCAAATAAAAGGATGCAGAGGAACACAGACTTACAGAACTCTCTGTAAAAGGACAATTCTCATACAAATTTTTTACACAATATCAACAGAGGCTAGACAAGTATGTGGAAAAGAGGTTATTACATACACAAACCATGGCTGGCTGAAAAAGAAGCTTATATATATAATTTTATTATCTTTTGCAAACTTGTTCTCACAAATTTCACTTAAATATCCTACCCAAGGCAAAAATTAGTAGACAAATTGTCTGTGTTTTATAAACAATGTATGATTTATCAGGACACTAATTAAACACACAGTAATTACTTTTAAGCAATATTCCACTTGAAATGTTGTAAAAGCATGAAATGTCAAAGGGATTTGTGAATTACTTCTTATTCAGAAACCCTGTTGTAAGGCCTGGAATATGATCACATGTGCAAGCCTAAGATTGCAAATACTCAGAATAACGAGGAAGATAAAATTACCTTCTCAAAAGTCAAGTTTCATGCATGACAAGTTGTCTTTTAACTGTAAGAGGAATTAACTCCAGCACAAAGGACTCTTGATTCTATTTCCACTACCAGTAAAATATTTCATAATTCAATTGGTATGTTATTAAACAAATGTTTATTTCTGTAGCCTTTATATTGTGGTAATGCTTCATGGTTCAAGTTACCCCCATTGCATTATCCTGAACCCTACACACATACAACAAAGGGAGAGATCCGGCATCACACACACGATCTCTGCAATAATGACACAGTAAGGCACAAAGGAATCAACATTAATTATTTAGTCTGGAGAAGAGGAGGCCGAGGGGAGACCTTATTGCTCTCTACAACTACCTGAAAGGAGGTTGTAGTGAGGTGGGGGTTGGGCTCTTCTCCCAAGTCGTCAGCGATAGGACAAGAAGAAATGGGCTCAAGCTGTGCCAGGGGCGGTTTAGATTGGATATTCGGAAAAATTTCTTCATGGAAAGAGTAGTCAAGCATTGGAACAGGCTGCCGAGAGAGGTGGTGGAGTCCCCATCCCTGGAAGTGTTCAAAAAACGGGTAGATGTGGCACTTGGGGACATGGTTTAGTCTAGTCTACCCTTGATTGGTTTAGCGGTGGACTTGGTAATGTTAGGTTAATGGTTGGACTGGATGATCTTAAAGGTCTTTTCCAACCTAAACGATGCTATGATTCTACAATTCTATACACCGATCACTAACGTACAAGGATATAGGAATTTATTTACATGCAAGTTACTACCAAAACATCACATTGCTCTTACCTTGAACTAGATCTTGACTTGACATCTTCCTTTGCTGTCCTTTCACTACTAGCATCTTCATTGTTGTCCTGTTTTTTCTCACATAGTTGTTTTCTCTTCTCCCACTTCTGCTGACTTGAGATGCTTTCTGCTTCTCCTTGTAAGTCATTTTCTGCTCCTACCTGTGAACCTGAGGTATGTGCCAGGCACTTAGAGGAGATCGGCAGTTTTTGCTCTTCTCTGCCAAAGTCTCCTTCTGCTAACAAAGCAGAAGTTTCAGGTTTTAATGTTTCCTGTGCAGGGACTGAATTGTCCAAGTTATCTACATGGTCCATTTCCTTAGACTTTACCAACGTGTATGAAGCATTTACAACACCTCCTGCAGAATGTTTAGTCTTTAAACCTTCAACACTGTCCTCCCTGCTGTCTTCACAGCTGCCACAACACACACAGGAATTAATTAGACAGTTTGTGGCAGCTATACTGAGTTTATGGGATTCATCCTCCTCCTCATTTGCTAATGGATTAGCAGATCCAGGAACACAACTAATAGCTGCTTCTGGAGTTGTTACTGGGGACTCCGAGCTAGAGGGAGATTTAGGATTGAATATTACAGTAGCAGATATTTTCATTCCCCCTGTCCTGTGAGCTATCACTTCTGCTGTTTCTGCATCATCAGCATACGCATCCCAGCCATTGAGGTATAACTGTGAGTCTGGACCTTCTAGACAGCTGCATGAATTCTGAACTGAGATGCCAGACATCTGTTTGCTATCTTCAATATTGTTATTATTGCTTAAGTCACTTTCAGCATCTTTTAAACACAAAGTTTCCTCTGTCTGATGGCCATTGTCATACAGCAAAGCATCTCTGTATTGCAGGTTCTGTTTTGAACTGTGGCAAGGGTTGTTCACCCAAGCAAAAGTATCACTTACTGAATCCAACCCAGCAAGAGCTTCTCCTGCTCCATCTAGGTCATCCATAAAAAACACTCTGTCCTCCTCATCAGTTAAATTGTCAAGATGGTGTCTCGTTGGTGAAGCTTCTGTGCTAGAACTATTTCTTAGGCTAGGTCTGTGAGCTGGAGACTGACAGATGCTTGGAGGGGAAAGCAGAGAAGACATTTCATCTCCGACTCTGTGTACCATCCTATTCAGCTGTTCCAGCTCCTGTTCATCATACTGCATAGAACAAGCCAGCTCAGCCTCTGTGTTTTCAGCCTTTGCTGAAAGCTCCTTAGCAGGCAAAGTTGCAGTTATGCCCGGTGTAATGACAGAGGGTACTTCAGGATCTGCTCTGACAGGAAAATCCACATCTTGAGAGATGCAGAGGTTACGTTCCAGTGTGTGCAGTTCATCCTCAGTTAGTGTCTGAAGTAGATCCCTGAAAATAAGGAATACACACATCACTTTGCATTTACAATCATAAAAGGCACCGATGTTACAGATTTTTAAAAAAGCTTTTACTGTTAGTACAGAAATCCAGAACCTAGGGGCACAGAGTACTATCGCCTGTGTAACTCAAGGTGCATTTGGCATTCATATTCAGAACACATGTGATTGCTGATGCCTGAATTTGAGACTACTCATGCAAATTCAGGGTACCAAATTATTTACATCCTTGCAATGAAGCCCCAAAATAAATCAAAACACACGCAAAAATGGATCTTTCCCCTCCCCATTTACTTATGTGAAAATGTTACCCACAGTTAGATATATTGTCATTTTAAGTTTTTAATTCACAAATTTGACTTTGATTAGTAAACCAATTTGCCATCCTTCGTATTAGATTCTGAAAGTTATTCTGCAAAAGAGTACCACAGGAGTTTCACACCATTACATCCTCAGATAAAGAGAAATCGTTAAAAATAGTAGTATCATTTATGCAACGCTGATGCCTTGGAAGCCTGTTCACTGGAACAGGGATTGGAAGTTAAGTTGTCGCTCTACTGCCTCAAACACGTCAGTCAGTCATTAGGGAGCTAAGCTTCCGCATGATGTTAAGAAACAGGCAGGCCTAAAAGCAAACATCTAGGTATTTACTAAACTATGTTTTCTAGAGACATGCAGCATCCCCAGTGTTATCAAGTGTCCTCAGTATTGCAGTTTAGGACTACGAGCACCTAAAAACAAAGTGTTATTTGAAGCTGTTATGTTTAGGTGCTTTATAATTTTAACACAAATCCATAGACACAGCAGCACTTAAAATTTTAAGTCTGAATTTGATTTACGCTATGCTTCTCAATTAGAAGCCACATGTAAAAATAATAATAAGACATCCTCTATCAAGAATGGCTGTCAACAATTTTCAAAGACCAGCAAGTATATTTTAGCATAAATGAAGGGATGGGAAAAGCAAGACCTCCTGCTTAAACAGAGGCTAGGAGTCCTCATGTGTTTAGAAATCATGGGCTAGCAGGTGATATACAGCTGGCATAATAATAATAACAAAAACCCCCCAATAATAATAATAGTAACAATATGCACATATTAAAAGAATTCCATTAAAGAAGTAACTTCAGTCTAAACAAGAGGACCAAAAAACCATTCAACACGTCTCATATTTGATTTCCAGTCAATGGCTTGCATTCTTAACTTGTTAACTCAAAGACCAAATATTTTTTCAAATACTATCACTAAACGATCAAATTGCCAAAAAAATACATTACTGGTATCTGACTTGTATATCAGCTACCCTAATATTTTTAAAAAAGATAACAGTTTAGATAAGCATGCTTAAGTCAGAATAAGTATAGAACATACATTGTTATGATTATGTACATTCCATACAATTAACATCTTTATATTTAAAAAAAAAAATCATGCTTTTATGTAAGAGTTATATGACCCTGAAAAAAATTCTAAGCCTATGGAAGTACCACCTTATAAGAATAATCACACCATCATATCGTCCCCTTTTCACTTTCTTCCACATTCTCTAATAGAGAAATATTTCTTTAAATCATTCCATATGCATCTCCAAGTCTGAAGTTTGACAATTTTTTCAATCATAAATGAGTAAGAAAGAAATGGGCAGTCTTTGTTAGACCCACTTAGCTAATAAGGCTATAAACCAGTATTGCTATCTGGCACGCTAGAACATTTTAGAAGACCTATACATTCCTTTTTTTTGTCTAAACAATATATAATTATACCATCTCATTACTCATATCTTTTATTGAAACAGTAATCAGTGTCTGTAAGAGATTAAGCATTTTAACAGCATCATAAAAACAAACTGACAGAGAATGGTTTAAGTTTTAAGGTCAACATAAAAATAGCTGCATTGTTATTGTTTATTTTTGAAAGAATTATACCAGTATAATCAACAAAAGCATAGAAGCCATGAGGCTTTGTATTATGAATTTTCAGTTTGTCAGTTTTTACAGAAACACTGTGATGTAGGATTTTATAAGCAGAAACAAAAGTAATGTGGGATTTTACAAACAGTTGGGTTTTCAATTTAAAAAAACCACAACAGAGTAAGCACACAAACACAACAGTGAAAGCTTTAAGCTTGTCCCTCACCTATGCAAAGATATTAAAACTGTAAGATATTTCTGGGTCAGGCCAGGGTCCATCAAGTAGAGAAGCTTGTCTCTGACAACAGATTCTAAGGAAGAGCATAAGAACAGGACAAGCACGCAGTGATCCCTGCTGAGTGCATCCTACTGGCTTCCAGCAGCCTGTAGCTCAGGGATTTCTGAACCATGGTGGCAACCTTTTGTTCAATAATCCTCAGTGAACTTTCCTTGCATGGATGAAAATGTGTGTGTCAGGAACTGATCAACAGTCAACTGCTTAAACATCAGCTACGCGTCTCTATACACCAGTCATACCTCGTCTCAAAACACGAGATAAGAATTAGCAAATTCTACAAATATAGACTATACCAGCAACATTCACAGGAATTTGCTTTCCATCCAAGCTCATCAGCATAACTGGGAATGAAATGGGCCCAGGGAAAATCTAAGATTGAATCCTGACTTTCAGCATCTAGTCTGGGGCTTTGTTCAGTCTCCAGAACATTGCAGAGCAGCGCCTGGGACTCCTGGATGTCTGGGTGCCCAGAGCTGCTCTGCTTCCTTTCTGAAGACACAGAGAGCCTGACTGCTCAGACCTATTCGAAACAGGTTTCACATATTCACTGTAAAGTAAGTGCTGGAAATACGTATTTACTTTATGCTGGCCGGCTTCATTGACTTGAGTAACAAACTCTTCGTTTCTGCCAATAACACAACCTCAAAATTTAAGAACAATAGTGTGCAGTTTTGAGGATAAGTAAAGAAAGCTTGATTCAAAAAGAAAAAAAAAAATCAATTAAATCAGCCGACAGTCCTCGTATCTTTTTAGGTGAGTCAGCTCCATACCGCCTTGCAAGAGCTGCTATACATCATCAGTTGGATTACATGTGGTAGTCTACCAACCCTGTTATTTCAGTAGAGAAATAATCCTCCTTTAAATTCAAAGGCATATGCTCAATTTCCCAACTCAATCACCAGAAATTTTGCTATTAACAAATACAGCTTGTTCTGAAAGAGGCTCATACAATTATCTTCAGTCCTCTGCATAAAAAGCCCCTCAACTCACTGGGCTGTTTTGAATACAAGTTTCCTTGCAAGGTGACAAACGTTTGATCAACAGTTATCTTTTTGATATACCGTGTATTAGATTATACAGCATTCACTGCCAACATTAGAAACACTGCATGTTTTAAAATGCCTATGTAAATATTGAGAATAAAATTAATGTCAACCAGTGTACAGAAAGAAATGCTAAATCTCACTGCTGAAAGTTTAAAACTAAACATCAGGCATCATTATTAAACTGTAAGGTTTAATTAAGCTGTAACTACGTCCACAGTTCATTTCCTTTCTGCTGAAGCATCTGTAACTTGTCATTGGATCCAAGCGAGCACTGTACTCGTATGGAAAAGAAGAGTTGTTTCTTCTGCTTTCATTATTCAGAAGCTGCAGGTAAAGAGAAGTTCTGCAGCCCACCCTGACAGCAGCAGTGCGCTTCCTTCTCACAGAGCCTTTAGAAAACACTGAATGTAAAAAAGGCACTTGTTGGGGTTTCACCTGCTTTTACTCTTTTTGGCACAGTATCACAGGAAGGCAATCTAGCCTTGAAAATACGAGGCACATTTTTCTTCCTGGGGCTACAGCCACTGACAGAAAAACAAGGCAAGTTCTTAAGATGTACTCTGCTTGTTACAAGAAGTAGTAGAAATTTACTCTGCCTATTGCAAACCCAATAAACATATTTTACTCTACTGCCAATACCCAGGGTGCAGAAATTACTTCTTCAAAGATCTGAGGCCAGATGTTCATTTAAAGACAAATTTGGCTGAATAGAGGACCAGGGCCACAAAACCCCACGTGCACTGATCTCACACATTCTCCAAGCCTCCTTCATTAACTTTGCTCCTATTCTGACTAGAATTTTAAATTGTCTGTTTTCAGAGAACAGCGTTGTTATTGCCAGCCTGTGCTTTAGTTCCTGCTCTGAACCGTTGTCTTGATGGAGCTGCCACCATCAGAACATGATGCGGGTACAGGAATCCAAGTTGCATCCTCCTGCTTCCGCAGCGCTGAGCTGAGTTCAGCACAGCAAAGCCCGCAGATCTGCTCCGATACCTCCACGCTGAGAAACCAACATTAATACGGCAGATACCACCAGTACTCCTTTAGTGCAAAAGTTTAAAATCAGCTCAAAGTTTTAAACACAGCCATCTTGGAAAAACTAACCAGTTTCCCCCCAATCACTGTGCACACTTTCAAAGCATACGGGTTCCACAAGGTCCCCCACATTCTTTAACACACAACAGGTATACTGCATTTGATTTCTAGTCAATGATACAGAAAGGTTTCAGTGTACTTAAGATGGTACGATCCTCTGATTCTGCACCACCAAAATCCATAGGGGCCCTGCCATTAGATGTAATGGTCCAGAAATAAGCACCAGGCAAGCAGAGGGCTCTGAAAAAAAGGCAGAATTAAGGAGTACTGCAAAAGCCCAAGTTTGCTCACTTCTGAAAATCTCCGTATAGCAGCCTCAAATGTATATATAGTATAGGTAACATTTTATCACAAGAATGTTCACTGTCACAGGCATCTAAATTAAACATCTATGCATACAGCAGATGATACACTTTGTAGACTCACTAGGCAGATTACAGTAGTTTGGCAGAAATGGTTCAAATGCCTTAGTTAAAAGGAATAGAGATAACGCTACTATATAATTATGCATTGGTAGATGTATAAAATTCCAATTCTGATGTTTTCTATCTGAAATAAAAATCAACACAAGCACCTTGCTTAGGTATTAATTAAAACACTCAAAGCCATCATTTGCTGCTCAACCTTTCCAAAAGCTAAAAAAAGAACCCTTACTGCTTTTGCTCAGAGTCTCCACAATCTCTGTTGTTTTCAAAGTTGCCAGCCACCAACACAACATCAAAAATTTTCATAGCCGATAGATAATTTTCTCTGCTAGTTCCAATTTACTTATGTGGATCCACATAAATACAGTGGTTGTCATTGCCTTTAACAGGAGGGATGTTTTAGGATAGTACAGATTAAAAATTACCTGTAATCCTACAAAATAACCAGCTGTATATTGGTGTTGTTCCACGAGTTAAAATATTTAGTTGGCTACAAAGTTATAGAACTTTATGGAGAAATTTACTGGGATGTGATCATATCCTGCAGTAAGATGTTGTTCTGTTTCTTACAACAGGCACACAACTGCAACACAAGATGCAACTATAACAGAAGTCTACTTGAATCTATTTTCATGCCTTAACTATTGGTGATGGAGTAGAGAAAGACTCCTGGAAAAAAATTATCCCTTTTTGCTGGGGACGAGCTCAAATATCGCATTCCATCTTCCCTTACAGGTTTCTGTGAACTTTCTCACTGAGTAGGAATTGCAGCCTGATGACTTAAAAATCTGTGATAACCAAAAAAAAAATCCTAGACAGCTTAGGTACTTTTAAAAGTAATTTAGTTATCCTACATGAACTGCACACTTATTTGTATCTCATTGTTATTTTCATTCAATGTATTTTTCATTCAAGAATATTACTAAAGGCTGTTTCTGAGCCCAGCTCTTTCAAATATTCAAGCTCCTTGATACTCCTTCAGTTCAGAGACTGCCAAGAAGTAAGATTTCACATTACATCTTAACTTGCTTAAATTCTGCTCTGATAGATGCTACCTCACTAAGAACACTTTGCAAACTTTTTGTCTGCTAGACAACTGAAATCACATTTTTAATACTCACTTGAAAGAATAAATAAGTCTTAAAGTATATCAGAACTTTTTCCAAAGATGAATCTGAGTCTTTTCATTTTTTGAAGTTTGCATTGAAAATTGTAGTTATTGAACAAACAAGCATTTTACTAACATGTTTTCAACCCAAGCATTAAGTTCAAAGTAACTGAAAATTAAATGGACTAAGCAATAAACTGACTTCATTGATTTTCATTTTCCATGTTGTAAAAAGTAAGGAGTAAGCAGAAAGTACAGATTATGAGAAGTATATTAACTTTTAAATATTCTTTTGGCTTTAGTCAGCCAGTGGAATGCTGGTGAAAATGTCTGTGATAGCCATATACTGGGAATAAGGTATTTTAATGTAAACTTCACGGACTCTTTATGCTTCAGTACCATTAAAGTTTTTTTCCCCCCCTTTAACTTAAGTTTTGCTCCTCAATTCATATTCTTCTTTACTCAGTGTTTTATAAAACCAGTCACCCAGTCCCTCCCCCAAACATATTGATTTGTCAATTCTGAAATTTCAATATGAATATCATTAATGATCCCAAAAATAAAACTGTATTACTTCTAGACAGAAATACTAGGAAATCTTCATGGGACACAGAAGGATGTGGTCTGGATATTCATAAAAGCTAACTTCAGAAATAGGCTCCTCTCTGAACCATCCCTGACAGAGCTTGCATTCTCCCTCAGGAGATGCCTCACCACTAACAGATGAGAGGAGATTAATCTGGATAAACTTATCTACGTGAAAACTATTCTTACATCAAACCGTCATCAGGACATACAGGGAAGGCGATAAACAGGTGAAAACTGGACACAGGAAAGAATAACTTCTGCTGAATTGTCTCTAGAGATTTCTAGGAATTAAATTTGCAGTTGATATATAGATTTGAATTCTAAGAAAATAGTAGGGCTTACAGATTCAGGTTTTTTTTTAACACCCAGATAAGATACCTTAATGGTGAATATAAAAAACTGACTACAAAGATCCTTTAAAGATACAGCTTGATTTCTTCAATGTAACAGATCAGTCTTCTAAAGACCTCAGCTAAGAAAAAAATACTTTAATGCCCTTTATACTTAAGTTGAGCCAAAGGCCATATCCCCAATGGTTACCAAGACTGAAACAATGTGAAAAGAGGTATACATAAAATGATCCATCCTGTAAAAATAGATCCACAATACGCAAAATTGACAGTCATTTCTATTAGATTAAAAATTATCTGAGTACTGCATCATAACATATGGAGAAAATGTAATAAGCCTAGTTAAACAGAAACATTGATGCTAATTAGAAACAGGATCTCCCCAAAATAAACTGCAACTTTAGTTTTTCAGGCATCATCCAAACATAAGGAAAATCTGAAATGTAATAAAATGATATTCAGAAAAAAAGAAACTATCACACAGACATGAAAAGTTAAGAAAAATGCCATGAAATGAAAAACTACATTTAGTTATTTCATGGGTGTATCAGGCAGATGAGAGGAAAATGCAGTTTATGGTTAACATAGCAAACAAAGACTTTTCTAGGCGTTTATGTGTTCTTTTCTAGGCCTCAGATTTTCACTTAGGAAGAGAAGCAGTTACAAGCATCTTTCATTACTTGCCTTATTTTTCTTAGCAGTGTGTGAAAAGGTCTGAAGAGTTCAGACATATCTTCTGGTTTATGGTCCAAGTTTAATGGTCCCTCAGAGTAGACAACAAGGCCACTGTAGTGTGAACACATGCACGAACACACACAAAAATGGAAGTTTCATTACACCCAGCAACTACTGAATAAGAAGTCAGAAAAGCAACTGTACATAAACATTAGAACTACACTCAAGTTATATATTGTTATCTTATTTTTGTCTTATTCACCCACAATAAGAATGAAATGCTATTTAAAGCAACAGGAAAATGATCCCCTCCCCCCTGTCCACCCCCCCTAAAGCATGGGAGAAAAACCAATAAAAAGCATAAGAGAAAGAACATACATTTACTTCATTGCTGTGGCTGACCCATAAAAAATAAAACAAGAAAATAAAACAAGAAACTGATTATCAAGTTGGAGGAAGTCCATTGACTTGAGAGAGATTGTAAATGGCTTTTTCTTTCCAGGCTAAATAATTTCTAGGTAAAAGAGTTGACTCTTGAGCTCCTATTTTTCTGCCTTTAAGATAAATACAACCTGGTATTAACATGTGGTAAAAAAGACAACACATTTGCTAAATCACATAAAACACATTTTGATAATATCATGCTTCTAAATCAACTCAGCACTTGTAGAAATTTCCCTGGAAAGAGGTTAGCTCATGATCCTGAAAGCCTCCACGCATTTCACTGGAGATACCTCAATAGTTCCTCCGGACCGAATCAGTACTGCCCAAACCTGTGTGTCAGGGATTAAACAAAATTCACCTTCACCTTTATCTGCTGCATCATACTGCACTGCATCTGAAAGTAGATTCCACCCACACCGGGTACCACTCTGCTTAAAACTGTTTAACACTCTGCCCAATGCAAAAACAACATATGTTTCTCAAATGCAAATGGATCATGTGTTCTCACACTTGAGATTACGTATTTTAGCCAGACCATCTTCCCCTTCCTGCCCTTACCTTGGGTAAGTGAGAGCTGCCTGCATCTCAGAGCAATGTTCCTTTTCTTACACTCAAATTACATGTTGCTTCAGAGAGTATTGTAGCTACTTTGCATCCAAATCATCCAGAGTTATGGGCCCCTCAGCTGACTAACAAGACTGTTGATGTCTTTTGCTCACCGGCTGTTCACTAGCAAGCACCCTGTGTGACCACCGAAGGCTCTCAGACACAGCAGCAAAGCTGATGTCACAAGTTATATGAATCCCACTGAAGTATTGAAAAAAAGGACCACTTACACGCTGTTTACCATCTGGGAAATACTGCTCTTTTTCTTCTGTTTATAAACCTAGAGTCTCGCTCATGCCCTGGTACCAGGATAGTACCGTGGTCTCCCATCAGGCTGGAAGATGGCCATCAGAAAGTTCAGAATTGTCAAGATAACAGAGGGTCCAAGAAATTTGACTACTAGACTTGATCAACATTGCTTTGGGGACTGAGGTTTTCAGGGCAGAAGCAGGGAAAGGTGAGAAGTGGGGAGAGAGAACAAAGTTGCTTCTTTTGCAAGTCACCTTTTTTTTTGTGGCTTAAGACAAATTATCCTGTTACCAAGGTTACACACTTTTTTTTTCCCTAAGCTTTCTGAGCTTCAACAAGCAGGCTGCCATGAAGCGAAGCAGTTATTGCTGACTCACATACTAAATGTTCTGCCTAAAAAAATGTTACTACTTTGAGTGGCAGCTTGAGGCTGCTCTCACCGAACTTGTGACTTATACAAAATCACCATTCCCTTGGCAATTTCCAGGTATAGCTCACTTTCCATAGAGCTTAACTCGCAGAAGAACTTAAAAAAACAGAAGAGGGATAGAGCACTACAAAAAAAAGATTATGAAATGGCCTGTGTATATAAATGACCTTTGAAAGTGTTCCGAATCAAAGTTTGAATATAGTTGTACCATGGAAAAAATTAAAAACCTGGAAAAAAGTGTGAATATTTCCTACTAGGTTCAAAGTTCACTGACACCTGTTAACACACTAGGCAACACACACTGCTTAACATGCACTGTAAACTGATGTCTGAAAAGAAACCTCAGACAAAAATGACTCTGAAAAAGTGTTCCTTAAATCTTTGCTATTAGGAGATGGAGGGGATCCAGCATTTCTTGCTCCAGACCCATCCTTCTCATTAAGATACAACAGAGCAACAGCATGGCAGCTTTGAGCTGCACATGCCTTGTGTTCAAAGGCTTCTCTCCTTTCACAGTCCAAATAAAAGGCTTGCATTTCTTCCAGACAACAATGTATCTGGATAGCGTAGTTTTTCTGTGGAACTTCACATGGCAGTGATTTATTTTGCAGTCACTGGATACTTTGGAGCAGTTAAACTTTTTTCTTTTCTCCCTCTGTGTCCTTCTTTGTAATTTGGGATTGATATGGTGTGTTTTCCAGAGAGCCCTTGGTTTTCCAGTTAGTCACGATGTATTCTTCTTCACAGTGTCTTCCAGCAGCTTCAAACTGAGCTCACACATTCCCGTTCTCTTTTGATAATCAGATTATTACTGTTATTATTTTTAGAATGACAGTTACAGACAGTAACCTATTTAACAGGAACAATGGGCCACAGGGATTTCCTGAGGAGAAGCGTATTACACTCAGGATTTGAGGTTTCTTATTTCCCTCAATTATACTACTTATATTAGCTAACTTTAAAACATTCACAATGCTAAAATATTAAAAATATGCTGGCTTCACTCCAGAGAAACTGCTGTCTTACTAAATCATGAAGACTCATCAGGAAAAATGCATCTGATTTGTTCAATATTGCAAAAACTGCATGAAACAAAAAACCTATTTTAATTTAGTTGTCTTGAGTGGTCAATACAGGGCACAAATCTACACATAAGGTACACATGTTAATGCTTTCCTTGAAAAAGATTTAACTCAGTGGTGACAATGCAGTTTGTCATGACAATTCCTTTTGAATCTAGAGTCATTAAGAAAAATACACAATTCCTATTAAAATTTTTGTTTTCAAGACTTGTATCCTTAGGTCACATTATTTTTGAGTGACAAAATACCTGCTTTCAAAAAATATTTCTGACAACGTGACATTCTATAGACTGACATTCCTAATTTTTTTTATTTCTTTCTGGAGGATGACTGATCAATTGTTCCAGGTTCCTGCCTTCTATACTTAGAGTTCTACCTTCTCTTTTATTTTTTTCTCTTTATATTCTACGTGAAACTGATAATGATTAAAAAAAAACCACCCCACACAAACCAAGACATAATCCTCTTTTTTGATTATTTTTTTTTTTTTAAAGAAAGTACAAGCAAACTCAGATGAAAGAAAATATGCCAAAATTCTGAACAAAGTTTTTGAAATCTTCAATAAATCTTTAAGTGAGGCAGAGTGGAGAGTAGTTAAAAAATTACTTACCATACAATGGCTAATCTTGGAATTGTAAACATTAAAGCCGGTTCATAGTCATCTATCATATCTTGAGTGAGGTATCCAAGCCTTAAGGCTCTAAGCAGAAGAATAAAATTATTTAGTAAGAGATCACACTCTCAAAGAATACATTTCAATAGGAAAAAAATTGAAAAAATGTTATAAGCCAAACCAAATTGATAGTATTTACCTCACGAACTATTTTTGTATAATCTAAACCGCTATGTATATAACCAACTGTTGCAGTCTCTGCTTCAAAAAAAAAATTACTATATAAAAAATCTTTAAACACTTAAAGCTTTTATAGCTATCCAAACCCCAAATCATTTTAATGCCATCTTCCCTTTTTATTCACTATTTCATGCCAAGCTTCAGCTTGTTATTGAAAACCACTGGTGCTTAGAGTTTTTCAACTAAAAGAAACATTTTTAAAGTAATAGTGGAAAGTACTTGGTTTCATTTTCAAATAAAACTTGCTATAATCATATAATCTAGGTCAACCCTGCCAAACTAACAAACCAAACTAAAAAGAAACCCCAGTTCTATACAGCAACTATTATTGAAGTCTAAGGATTTAGTATTTGGGGGGCACTACACTGTCCTCTAATAACTTTTCAAATATCTTAAGCCCCTTTTAAACTGAAACCAAATTTGTTTAGGCTTTTCACTTGGCTATGTGTTTCTAGGTTTCTTCACAATTTCTTAATTTCCATAACTTCCTCAAATTTCTTCTCCTATTTGTCCACATCAGTGCATAAGGTAACACTCAAAACTGTGCACTAGTCCCGCTGAGATCTGACTGGTTCTGAAAAGAATGGAAAGACCAACTTTTTCTTATTCCTTGTCAGTACTTGTCTTGCCAATACTGCTGTTGGACAGCTAAATGACCACAAAGCAAGCACTGCTTTGTACTAACAGCAGATGGACTCGGTGCATGGCCCACTCTCACGCCATTCGTCCCTGCAGCCCACTGCCAGATTACCCAAAGCTGCAGATGAGAAACCACCTTCTTCCTCTCACTGGGCAAATATGTGCAGATCTAGTAGCTCTCTGACTGATGGAAGGTAATTGCTCCTACTGCTCGTGAGCATTTGGAGTTGTAATCCTGTCTTTTAAAATGCTTGAGCACCTCTGACCTTGGTGTCATCTACAGACTGTGGCAGTGTGCTCTGTGCTCCCTCATTCCTTGATGGAAGTATCACCCACACCAGACTCAGGGTCCTACTTCACAAGCTCTCCTAACATGACAGCAAAACCAAGACTTATTCCCAAGTGCATTTTACAGTCAATTGTCTCTAATAATTTCACCCAGACCACAGTTCACTAGTTTCCTTTTGAGAACAGTGCTGCACTGCTCAAAAGCTCACTAAAGCTGGGGATTTCACATGCTGTTCCTCTCCAGTGCCTGCCTGCTAGGTTAGTTACTCTGTCACAGGGGAAAAAGAAAAGTCATTCAACACCGTACATTCCAAACAAATCCACATTTTTCTTATCACCTCATGCTCCTAAAAGAGCTTATGAATTGCTGGAATTTTTTTTTAACATCATCTCTTCATACATACAGAGTCAAGCTCCAGTCCTTTAAGATTTTAAAGAGCCTTTACAAGTTCTTTATGACAATCACTAGAGGTTCACAGATGATTTGAATCATCTCCCCATGTATTCTTGCATGAAATATCATTAAGTCCTGATGCCTTAAACAGATTTAGCTCATTTAAATGCTTAGTCTTCATTTACACATCCATAATATTGTTATTGTTGGTTAACTTTGGAGGTTTTTTGCCTAGAAAACAAAAAGCATAGGCTTGTGCCTGGCAAGCATGCTTAATGTTTTTTAACTTTATACTTGGATACTTACTAGAAAAGCAAAATACCTGCTGTTTTATGATGCTTCTTAAAGACTACAGTTAAAGTATTTCTACCAAAGCTTAGACTGAAAGTAAACACAGATGTGAAAATCTAGTACTTAACTAAAATGCTTACCTCTCCACAGTTTCACAGAAAAGTACGATTACCTCTTGCTGTACATAGTATTCTTTTGGAGATTTCACAGGTACCATGGCCGACACATAACTACAAAGATTATAAAATAATGTACTTCTGTTTTACACGCTTTAACAAATCAGATTATATATGAAAACAAACGTAGGACAAATCATCTTAGAAACATCACCTTTCCTGTACCATTTTGTATTTATTTTGACAGCATTCACTATGAAAATTGCACAGTGTAAGAATCTATAAGAAATGCACCCGATTTAGCTATTGCAGATTGGTGCAGTAGAACTCAGTAGTAACTTAAAATTACACACATTTAGCTATCAGAACTCCATACTGTGTGGCACAGGGAGGTAGGTCCTAGAAGGATCTTTATCACTGCATCTTGAAGATAGAATAGTTTACTCCGCATTTCCTTAGCAAAAAAACTGACTAAAATGCACATTTTATCTAGAAAGGTTTTACATGAAATTATATTAATGAAATTCAGTTAGCCAGCAGAGACAATTTAGGAGACCTAAAAGTTGGCATCTTTTCTATGTGCAATTACATGCAAAAGCACTAATTCACAAGGCAAGGAACATTGGTAAAGTGGTTTTCTGTCACCATATTACTTAATCAGTCATTTGTAGACTACAGGTAACACAGGAAGGGAAACAGCTGTTTGCAAAACAAACGGCAAAGAGAAAAAGGTGTACGTAGAGTCGGTATGGACAGGTCAGAAACTGTGCACAGGCACTGTCAAGAACCAATTACTGATTGCCATCGGTGTCTGCACTCAAAGCCACACTTAAAAACACCTTTTTTAGCCAATGTTTTCAATTAAAATGTTTTGCAATGTAACAGTATAATGATGGTTTTTTGAATCAGAAAAAATTGCTTACCCAAGTAAAATAATACAAAAGAATATGAATACTGAGGAAGGACAAACAGTACCAGGAGACAAAACAGTCTACAGATTACTCCCAAGAAAAATTTAACACACTACTCAATTTTAAGAAACCTGTTCTGCTGAAGGTAGGCATGGCTTTATTATATTAGATCTGTAGATAATCCTGTCCAGTATCCTGTCTGTAACTATGCCCAGCACCACAAACGTCTAACAGACATGCAGGAAGCTGGCTTAAATTCTGAAGAATGATGCAAGACTTGGTCAATGTGACCTTTGCTTCAATAAGCAGTTACTTTTCTCACTCCAAAAGCAGTTATTTGTATTTTTGAAAAATGGCTTGGAGGTTTACAGCAGTCACAAGTTTTTAAATCAGTGAGTACCTGCAGTTAATTATGGCTTGTGTAAAAGCACTTCCTTCATCAGATTTCAATTTGCCTTCTTAAATTCACTGGGTGCATCTTGCTTTTATCTCTAAGCACAAGAGAACAAAACTTCATAATCTCTAGACTATTGGTTGGATTCAGGATTCCCTCTGTTAACCTGATCTAGTTAAAGATGTCCCTGCTTACTGCAGGGGGTTGGACAAGATGACCTCTAAAGGTCCCTTCCAACCCAAAGCATTCTATGATTCTATTTGTTATCATGTTTTTTTTTTTAAGTGTCTCTTATTTGTCGCCTTTCGTCCAACAAAAAAAACATTAAGGGAAGAGATTTATGGCTTCCGTTTGTGTCTTGGAAAACCTCCCTCAAATGCCATATGCCAGTAAGCAAATGGAAGATTATAGTTTAGTTGAAGAGAGCAAATGTTGATTGCTAAAAAGCTATTTAATTTTCTTTTCATTATTACTACACTGGAAGGGGGGGAATCTAATAATACAACAAATTACTGAAGAATTCAAATCCCATGATATAAAATCACACACTTTTTCCATAAAAAGAAAACAGAACAAAACAGCCAACTTCCAAAAACCAACAAGCCACACAACAGCCGCAGTAGTCAAGCTCACAATGCATTTACTTGGGATCTTTTACCTTAATTCAAATTCAGCAAAAAGGACATCAAAATGCTTGAGTGAATCTTTCATTTTTTCTGTGTAGAGGTTCAAATCCCTTAAGGCTTGGTCACGAATGATATTTCTAACTTCCTCTAGGCTTCGGGTCAGATCCTTGGCCAATGGCCTCATAGCCATACTCTCAATTTCACGATTCATAATAATTGAACCAGCAGCCAAACACTATGAAATACATTAAGGGAGAAAAATATTAATTTTTACAAAGTTACTTTTATGTTTTAAAAAAAAGCACAAGATGTGATATTTAATACTTTGAACAAGGGCAGTACTTAGCCTCAATTTGTTGCAAATTATTAAACAAGTGAAAGATTTAAGACCGATACGCAGAGTCATAAGCCTTCACGTAAAAGGGTAGGGAGCAGCTCAGGGAGACATGAGAACAGGGGGAGGTTGAAATGCAAGAACCACAGAGCTGGAAGAACTTCAAAAAGCTCTTCTCCCACTAGTTCGGCAATAAGTATTGGTAGGATATACAGTCTATGTATGCAAAGAGTGCTTGCATAAAAGGGATGCGAATCCAGCTAAAGTACAATCAATGGACTGTTTTGATTCAGGCTGGACTGCTTGATTTTGTAAAACAAATCTATTCCTTAAAAAAAAAAACAAACCACACACAACAAAACAGAAATTCTGCAACCATGATGCCTTTTGCAGCAAAACTGGTCATACTGGCTATAAGACCAGGGATCCAGCTAGACCAGTATCCTGTCTCCCACCGAAGCCGTGAATTAATTTTATGGGAAAGAACATAAAAACCAGGTCACGGAGTGATTCTTCCCTTTCCATTTCTGGAAAGCAGCTTTAACAGACTCCTTGCCTCGAGAGTTATACATGGACTCCCTCTGACCAGCTCACAAAGACATTAAAAGTAGTTTTTTACTGTAACTCATTAATAAAACTAGTTTAAAATCTTGCTATTAAAACCAAGCTATTTAATAATCTCTGCTGCTGGCTTATTCCTTCACGGATACATTTGGAAGACAACAAGCACTGATAGAAATCATACTTGCTGTATTAATGGAAATACTTGTAACTGAACATATACAAGGTTGTTCTAGTCTCG